TGTTGTCTGCTTAAATATTTTTAAATATCCCCACCCTTTTTTTCAATCCATCCTTTTGTAGTTTCCTGTATTCCAGTGGCTTGGATCAATATACAGCAGTGGCAACCTGCTGACAATAATACAGTAAACTAGGAGGGTCTTTACCTAAAGATATTGTGAAATGAAATATTGTTCCCAAGGTCGAACTTAGAGGCTATTATGCTTATAATAAGTTAGTTAGATTATAATAATAGTTTAGCTGTAGTATGTATTATACTGCTCGAATGAAAATGTACTTATGTTTTCAATTGATTAATAAACTGATAATTTAGCTTAGCTATGGGTATACAAAAAAAAAAAACAAATTAAAATAGACAAAATTTTTCAGAAAATTTAAAAAATAAGTAATTATAAGACAATAGAAATAATGAATAAAGAAGTTTTAAGATTTAAATTTTTATTTATTTATTTTTTTACTATAAAAACTTTTAAAAACATCTATGTTTCAATAAATAAATTTTCAATACTATACTATTGATTTTTATTTTTTTTAAAAACTTCTTATTATAAATAGAAAGGATATTTTTTGACTTTTCTTAATTATTAATAATCAATTTTTTATTTGAAAAAAATTTAAATAAGAAGAAAACGATTTTTTGAAGTTATTCTTCAAGTTGGTTTAAGAAAAATAATATGATTTTATTAATATAAAAGTATAAAATTTCTTATGAATATCTTTTTTATATATTGTTAGAGAATTAATAAAAAGAATTTTTTTTAATAAAAAAAATTTTTTATGATATTAGAAATAATAAAAAAAAATAATAACTATTGACTTTAAAATAATTAATTGAATATTTTATTAATTTTATAACTTAATTTTTCCAGTATAACACAAAAAGACTTAGATTGAATTAGACTAAATTATTTGAACTAATAATAAGAATTTCTTTTATATGAACTTACAAAAATAATATTCTTTTACTTGAAGTTTAAAAAAATGTATTGCTAGATAAAATAAGTAATAGTGCAATATTAATTTGATGTAATAATGTAAGTAAAGACATAAATATGTACAGTATATGAATAAATTTGTAATAATTAATAAAGATAATGCATATACTGCATGTATTCATTTAAAAAAATCAAATTTCTGATAAAATTATAATGAATAAGTCTAAACTTTTGAAAGTAAAAAATTTTTATTATGTTTATTAATGGGTTACAAGTATTTAATATAGATAGATAGATTGAATACCGACGTTTCCAAATATAAAATACGTAGTATCGACAAAATCATGTCCCCAAGAGGTATCTTTGATCAAATCATTAAATATACTGTACGTAAGTCATCAGCATTCATCAGTTTATCAAAATATTCACAATTGATCTGATTTATCTATAGAAAAGGTAAACTCGGAATTTTATTTAAATCAATACAGACTTCTCTAATAAAAATTCACCCTTTTATAATTAAGAATGACTCATATAGAAGAACTGCAAAAGATTTTAAAACCAGGTGTAAAGTTTCGCAATTGGTCAAAAACTTTCGGGTGCGCACCAGAATTATATTTTGAACCCGAGTGTGAAGAGGATGTGATTAAGGTGCGTGTTATATATATTTGATATCGTAGTTTAATGATGCTTCAAGATGATAATTTTACTCTTAAAATCGAATTTTAAAACTCATGCCCTTTATGCATTCTAGATCGTAGAATTAGCAAAAACTAATAACAAGAATGTTCGAGCCATTGGTTCAGGTCATTCGCCATCTGATCTAGCATGTACCGAAGGATACATGATAAACATGGACAAACTTAATCGTATCTTAAAAATTGATCGCGAAGCGAAAACCGTGGTAGTAGAAGCTGGGATGAAATTGCATAAATTAAATGCGGAATTGAACAAACACGGCATGGCATTGAGCAGTCTGGGTTCGATCTCGGATCAAAGCATTTCTGGTGCGATCTCTACGGGGACTCACGGAAGCGGAATTAATTTTAGGAATCTTTGTGGTCAGGTAATTTGTGAAATTAATTTTTAGTAATCTTTTAAAGGATTTTATCGCCATTTTTTTTTTTTTTTGGTCTTTGTAATGGACAATAGATCGTATCTCTAACCCTAGTCACATCGTCGAAAGGTGTTATGCGCTGTTCAGCAAACGAAAATCCAGACGTATACAAAGCAGCTTTATGCAGTTTAGGCGCATTGGGAGTAATCACAAGCGTTGGTATCAGATGTGAAAACGCGTTCCGATTGGAATCCGTACAAATTCCAGAAAAACTAACCAATATACTGGATAATTTGAATGAGATTATACATTCGGCGGAACATGTTAGGTTTTGGTGGTTCCCTCATACAAGTGATTGTATTATTTGGAGGGCAAACCGTACTAGTAAGGTACCCATCTGCAAGCGACATTCGTCAATTCCTCCGAATTAATTTCATAATCTTTAAATGAAGGAACTCAAACCTCGAGATTCCTCTTACATACGAGATACCCTTCTCGGCTTCCATGCCTATCAATTATTCCTCTATCTCTCCCGATTTGTACCTTCCATGAACCCCCTGATCACTCGGGCAATGTTCAACTTGAGTTTCTCCAAGCCCGCCCATGTAATAGACACTTCTTATAAGGTTTTCAATTTCGATTGCATGTTCCCACAATACGTTAATGAGTGGTCAATACCATTGGATAAAACTGAGGTGGCAATGAGAAAATTATATAAATGGGTGGATGGAAGTGGATTGAGTATGCATTTTCCTGTGGAAGTGAGATTCGTGGATCAGGACGATGTTTGGTTGAGTCCGGCTTATGGAAGAAGGGTTTGCTATATTGGGATTATTATGTATAGGTATGAATAAATTATTTCGCAATAGTATGAAATTATTTATAAGCGTATTCTTTTGTTCTTTAGGCCATATCATCAGCCTGTACCTTATAAGAAGTATTGGGCTGCCTTTGAGGAAATTATGAAATCCTGTGACGGTAGACCTCATTGGGCCAAGGTAATCCTCATGGTCTGTGATCCAATTCTTCAATCATCCATGGTTTTAATCTCTCGACATTCTCAGGGGCACAGTATGTCCGTGTCGGAACTCTCGAAATCCTATCCAAAATTTGATTCTTTCATAGACATTCAGAAACAGCTTGACCCATCTGGGATATTTCTAAATCCGTATTTGAATAGGCATCTGTTTGGACTCAAAGGTGAAAATTATGATACAAGTAGATTTAAGGCTAAGTTGTGAACCCAAAATTTAGAGAAAAAATGATTATTCTTTTTGTTCAAAAATTACATCCCGTTACAAAAAAATGAATTTACCTTCTTTCTCGGCTAATGTACATATTTGTAATTTGCATTTACCGACCTTTTGTATCTCTTGATTCTTTGTGGGCACAACATACCGAATTTAAATTTTTTATGGGGCGCATCGTGACGATTTCTTGTTACGAAATTGATTACTTTAATGCAATATGTTTCAATCGATCATGTGAATCATAAACATTATTTTACCGGATTAAGAAAGATCGCCTCATTAGATAAGCGTGCATCCAGAAAAGATTCACGAACGTGTTTTTTTATAGATATATAAGCAGGCACAAACGACGATAACAATAGTTTAGTTAAATTTTCGGTTCGAGACTTCCTCTCTTCGAACCGAAAGTTCTTTGGACTAAAGGCCTCCGAACCACTCGATGCTATTCCTCTAACGTTTCTTAAAATTTATATTAAGAAAAAAATGGTTCGTTATCAACTTTCCTGAACTTGATTTGTGGTAAAATGGATTTCATTTAGGCCTAAAATTTAATTTAATTAATTGCAAGGAAAACTATAATTACACGAGGGGAAGGAGCCCGTTCACAGGTTATGCCCGTCCCTCGTCAAGGAGGAACAGGAGTTTCATTCCACTAATCCAGTTCGCTCTTTCGGAGATTAGAATAGACAGGTTTATTGATAAGGCCAATAGGAATCCACCGCAAAAAACGCCAATAGCGCATAGTTATCACAATAATGACAGCTATTATGGGAATGAGTATCCTGATCAACATGAATTCGATAATTCCTATAATGACGAATGCAGAACGCCAATATTTCGATATGAATGTCTAGACGAGAAAATTGTTTTATTACTTATTCAAGATTGTCAAATAAACATCCCTCTTAACATCCTTAGAGGAATTGAAAAGGTTCAGGAAAGAAGTATCAGTTTGATCTTGAGAGAATCCGCGAAACCCCAGGTGTGCACGCATATTGCACGTATTTAATTATTCTTCGATTTTTTATTGTTTATAATGATCGAATAAATATAAACGTTTTAGATCAAATTTCTTTGGAGTGACGATTACACCGACGGAAAAAAACGTTGGATTTTAGAGAATTTCAGTAAAATCTTTCTCCTTTTCCCTTCTCTCATTTTAAATAAATATTAATAAAAACGATTTAACTTCAAATATTTCCCTTTGATATAAATAAATAGATAATGCCAGATCCATTGATATGCTAGTTCGCAGAGATGAACCAGAAAACGAGATTGATATCGCTGGGTTACATATAGATTATACCATAAATAAAATGACAGCAAAAGATGGAATAATTCGTCAAGCCCCTAGTTGGGGAGACAGATGGACGCTTGTCGAAAATCAAATCAATAACACTCACAACATTGAGGTAAATATTACAGAATGTTCAACTCGAATTATTAACTCGTTTGATCCTTTCAAATGATTCGTCCAACTTTTGGGTGACTATAGGAGCATATCATAATCAAACTCCATTCAAACGATGACACCAGAATCTTCCTATTCCCGAAATCAGTATCCTCGTATACAACCATCAAGCAAACCATTGAGGAGGCTCTATATATATCATATATCGATAAATTCAAGTATCGCGACGATTCTGGTGAATTCATCACGATTTCTACTCCGCGTGAATTCGACATTGCGTTGAAATTGTACGCGAAGAATAATAAGATGGAACTTTGGTATATGAATACCGCCGGCTCTTATGGAAATGTAAATATGAATTTAATTGATTTATAGTAAAGTAGAAAGTTGGTGAATGAATTTTATGTCTCAAAATAATGATTTTGAAAAAAAAACAAAAAAAAAGGTAAAATTAGGAAATTTATCATTGATTTTAAAAAATCCTGAAAATAACCGAAATAGG